GAAATTTTAATTTAATTTAATTTATTTATTCACATTAATTTCAAAGTCCGCCGACCACATTTAAGAAATTAACAGTCTACAAATCTCATAATTACACTTATAATAAACAATAACGCGAAAATCCTCGAATATAAAATAAAACAAGAACATCTTAACAATCACGATAACAAATTGCGGGCCAAGAATAATACATGTACTTTTCACTAATTAATTAAATTCTCACACACGAAAATGAATGGAAATTGAAATAATTCAATATATTCCATTTTTTAAGTTTTTTATTTTATTTCCCAACTTTTTCATCTTTCATCAACTCAATAAAAACACCCATAACCTATAAATTCGTATTTCATTAAAAAACAATCACAAGTTTTTTTTTCTTTACACTCAGATTAAATTTCGAAATCCATTTCGAGTTTAAATGTATTTTACAATCATGTGTTGCACCCAAACGGCATATTGTTATTTGCATATCCACTTCAGTCAGTCAGCATCACCATACATCCTTCAAACACACCGTGGGTGTGTGAAATAATCTGCCAAAAAATGAAACAAAAATGACCCAGACCTAGCTGGATACATTCCTAGTTGTTATTTGACCCAGATAAACGAAATAAATATATACCAATACATACATATCTCGTTACTTTTTTTTGTTTCGAGAAACTCTATTGGATTCCGCAAGGATATAATAATAAATACACACACACCCACACTTACATACACTTGTGTATTTGTGAACATATTAAATGTGATACCTAACAAGAGTAGTAAGCAAAAGAACCCATGACTCATTGTTTGGGGAGTATTGAATTGAATTTATTGTATGTTACATATAGATTTTTTTACATACGTACATACAAATTAAAACAACCTTTTGACGCCCCCACTCACTCACTCAACCAAATAACCAAACCACTAACAATATACATATTTATTTGTGGGAGCAATAAAATTATTGGTCTATGTAGTATACGAAGAAAAATAACCATGTTGGTGGAATGGAAGCTATTGCAATGGATGTGTCGTCGCCGTCTTAAAGATGTATGAAATCGATAAGAAATTATATAAAAATCGATTGATATTTAATAGAATTTCTGAATGATGGGTGTGGTTCAGTCCTTCAGACTCATTAATATGTTTTATAACCATGAAATTTTATTGATAACAAACTGCAGATATAGACGAGAAGAACACGGACAATTAATATGAATAATGATCCGAATATCAACAAATGTTCACGTCGGGAGGATCTGTATGTGATGGGAGATTGGATGGATTGCAAAGATAAGGAATATGTCGCTAATTTTTGTCCGAGTTTGAAATTAAGGTGTTTGGGTTTGTAGCAACTAAGCCACAAAGTAGTACATGTTTGTTATTCGTTGCTTGGTTGTGACTCCTCTGCTGCTATATTCAGGAAGGTTGCAGATAAACAAGAACAAAGATTAAAACAATACGATATTCGTCCACAGAGTTTGGGATATTGACAATTCGCGCCAAAATGGAATTGAGGCGGCTACATCATCCAGATAAGACTGCTCGTATTTATCTTGGCAATTGCTGATTCTACTCTGCTTTTGGGGTGGTCTTCAATTCGAGCAGCATGCTGATGCACCAAAGGACGAAAATATTAGGAAATTTGCTCCAAGTCACATCCGGGCTTAGTAATAAATTGTTGTTGTTCTTGTAGGAACTGAAACATAAGATTAAAAATGTATTATATGGTTCCGTCTTGTCAATATCCGGCAGGTTAGTAGGCTGAAATGTGATGTGTAGTCCACCTGTAGGACATGTGTTAGGTTGTGTCGATGGGAGACTATGATATTAATCTCTTCGGAAACAACTTTTGCGGTTCACATGGTAGCGTTCTGGCAGATCCTTATGTTCTTCCATCCTCTGGGCCTCTGGATCTCAGCATTAAGTGTCAGGGCGCACATTGTGCCCTAGGGCTGCATGAACAAAATCTTTGGCGAAATTGTACCTTTAGTCATGGTTATATCTTGAACGCACCAGGTATGACATTGGACTAACGCGTAAAACTAAGCGACTATATATCTTCAGTCCTGACATTTGACAATGTAGATGTTGTTATTCCTAGTAAAACCGACTGGAACCACCGGAGTAACCCTCCTTTGGACGGTCTGGCTTTCTATACAGACGGATCCAAGATGGAAGAAGGTACAGGGGCTGGCGCCTACTGTGAAAGGCTAGAACTTGAGCTTACCTACAAGCTGGAGAGCACCTGTAGTGTTTACCAAGTTGAAATCTTCGCGATTTAGAAGGCAGCGTAATTGAAAGCGCAGACGAGGATCTGAATCTACAGATCTAGCAATTGATGGCTCTATCAAAACATCCACATGTCATCTTTATCGGAACTTTGAGGCGTTCTTCGACGAAAGAGCCTATGAACTTTGGCACAACAAACCTAGGTGGCCGACACTGTCTACCAAAATGATACACTCTCTGTTGAACCTGAGCAAAACTGAAATAAGAGTAATGACAGGAATCGTTACTGGTCATTGCAATAGGCCTTTACCAGTAAATGGGGCCATGATGTTACTGATTACTGTAGACTCTGTGCTGGAGACGAGGAGGAGACGGAGACAATTGAGCATCTCATGTGTCGCTGCCCAGTCCTGAACCTGCTCTAATCTACAGCATCATTAGAATCCTAAAGTGGTTGGGAAATTGCAACCTTGGCACGTAATATATTTTCTGTCCGATCTCTATAGCCATCGATACTATCACATACTTTCTTCCTTTTCACACAATCGACCCATAACTTACTACTGATTGATTATAAGAAACTAGGTCCTTTTTGTCTCCGTCCCAAGTGATAAGGTTATCGATTAAGAACCTGCTTTTAGGGGAACCCCCCCCCCCCCCATTCTCGATTTTTTATTTTTAAGATTTTAAATGGGCTGGTAAATGAATACCAATGCTTGTTAAGGTTTGTAACTTGGCACATATATATTTGAAGATTTAAAAAGGAAGAAAAATAATTTACAAAAATTTTTTGTTGTTGTTTTTTGGGTGCAAAGAAAAGTCCACATTTTCGATGGCGGGCATGATAACTCCTCACTGGAACATCGGAATCCGAAAATTCCAACTGTGTTAGAAAGAGGACATGTCTGGCTCTCGTATGAACTAGGATTATTGACTTCGCTCTAAAATTAACAAAATGGTGGACCCATGTTAAAAAAATAAGGAAGATCTTCACCGATTGGCTTTATCCTAGTTCATACGAGAGCTATACACTCTCAGAGAAACGCTGCAAAATTTGGAACCGATTGGATTATTGGTTTTTGAGTTATCGTGCCCGCCATTCACAAAAAAATGTTTAGAGTAAAACGCGTTTAAAGTTTGAGAAGCCCTTTAGCCGTCACTTAATGTTGATACAATAAATCGGATATATCTTCAAGACTTCTTGAGATTTTCACTTGAAATTTTGTAGAGACATTCCTTAATCAGTGTAGATTCGAATTATATCAACAAAAATTTTGACACCGAGAATGGGGGGGGGTCCCCTTAATTTTATCGGATTTAGCTAGTATATTGTTATTGGAATGTGTCCTCTATAGACTATTAATTGGAACGGCTTCATTTCAACCGCTCCAGGTGGTAAACAGTGTAGTTGTCGGAATATGTTCAGCATCGACTATTATCTTCAGTGGGAGATCCCATTACCTCCTTCCAAATGGTATACAGGGTGGCTGTGGGCCTAATGTCGGATATGTTCATAATTCTCTGATAGAAGAATCTCACAAAGTAAGCTATCTAAATATTTATCCTCTTATATATCGCTCTTCTGCCGATCTTGCAGCAAATGAGCGATATATCATCAATGATGGAGCCCATTTTTAAAACACGGCCGGTTTATTCCCTTTTTTAATCCTTATATGGTATTCCATATTCACAATGCTTCTCAGGACAAATCATTTTGTTTCCAAATGGATTTTGAAATTTGGAGCCCTGATATTTTATATTTTAAATTAAGTTCATGTTTAGTCATGTAAACACCTGATACGTAGTTATATCACCCCACTTGTAAAACCCTGCCTTTCCCATCTAAATGACGATGACAAAATGATGACGACAAAATAACAAAACGGACTGTAACTGCTGAAGCCAATGAAATTTGCAACAACAAAACATCAACATATGAATGAAGTGCCGTCAAGAGACACTTCATATGAAGTAGTGAATGTCATCGCCGACCTCCATTATTATTAAATGGGCGCGGATGGGAGTAATGGAAGGTGAAGTACTTTAACAAGTTTTATGTTTATTTAATCATTTCCATTCCGTTCCGATAGTGTTGGGAATGTTAAAGAAAATACGGAATAAAACGAAATGTAAGAACTAAAATGCTGCCGGTTATATGTACACTTTTCCTAATGGCCTTGCTAAATGAAATTACATACATCTTTAATTCTATTTAGCATACATATATGTGACCTGCATTAATTATAAGGAAAAGTATTTATGTAAAAAGAAACTTAGACTAAAGGAGGAGGTATTTTCTTCTTCAATGGAGAATAGCTTGAATTTAAGAAGACATTCGACAAAGGACAAAAGACTCAGTCCTCTATATAGACAGAAGATTTCAAGTCTTCTATAAAGCTAATTTCGGAAGGTTTTATGTGGAGCTCTTCTATCACAATAAGGACCTTTTGAAGATATTCAGTGTGTCTATAGACATAGGACTTCTGCAGGTACTACGTCTATATACGTAAGATCTTCGAAAGGTCTAATATAACTACTGATGGTATTATGTCTGTATAGGACCTTAAAAGCTCTTTTGTCAAGATAAAGATGTTTTGTCTATAAAGGTAAATAATACGTTTTCTTTGAGGTCTTGTGTCTTTGGAAGACTTTTAATTCGTATATCTCTCAAATTCACTATTTTCGGACAGAAAACATCATTTGAAATCCTCATTTTTATATTAAAACTCAAATTAATTTCAAATCAATTTCTTTTTTCATTTTTTTTTTTGCAGGGTAAAGTCTATCTCTTCGACAAAGTATTCAAACCAAATGCATCTCAAGAAAAAGTCTACAATGAAGCGGCAAAATCCATTGTTACCGATGTCTTGGCCGGTTATAACGGTACCATATTTGCCTATGGTCAAACATCTTCCGGTAAAACACATACCATGGAAGGTGTCATCGGTGATCCCAATAAACAGGGTATCATACCACGTATTGTCAATGATATTTTCAATCACATCTATACCATGGAAATGAATTTGGAATTCCACATTAAGGTTTCGTACTATGAAATCTATATGGATAAAATTCGTGATCTGTTGGATGTGTCGAAAATCAATTTGAGCGTGCATGAAGATAAGAATCGTGTGCCGTATGTAAAGGGTGCTACGGAACGTTTTGTGTCATCACCAGAAGATGTGTTCGAAGTCATTGAGGAGGGTAAATCGAATCGTCACATTGCCGTAACAAGTAAGTTTGAAAATCCACTAAAACTATTTTCAAAGTATATCTAAAATAATTTTTTTTTCTTTCTTATCCTTACAGACATGAACGAACATTCATCCCGTTCCCATTCAGTATTTTTGATTAACGTCAAACAAGAGAATTTGGAAAATCAAAAGAAATTATCGGGTAAATTGTATTTGGTCGATTTGGCTGGTTCCGAAAAGGTATCGAAAACCGGTGCCGAAGGTACCGTACTCGATGAAGCCAAGAACATTAACAAATCTTTGTCGGCATTGGGTAATGTCATTTCCGCCTTGGCCGATGGCAATAAAACGCACATACCCTATCGTGACTCCAAACTGACGCGTATTCTTCAAGAGTCTTTGGGTGGTAATGCACGCACAACCATTGTCATTTGTTGTTCACCTGCCAGTTTTAACGAATCGGAAACCAAGTCCACACTTGACTTTGGTCGTCGCGCCAAGACCGTCAAGAATGTTGTGTGTGTCAATGAAGAATTGACCGCCGAGGAATGGAAACGTCGCTACGAAAAGGAGAAGGAAAAGAATGCCCGTCTCAAGGGCAAGGTAGAGAAATTGGAACTCGAATTGGCTCGCTGGCGTGCCGGAGAAACTGTCAATGCCGATGAACAAATCAATGTCGACGAACTTATGGAGGCTAGCACACCCAATCTGGAAGTGGAGGCCGTCGCTGCACCCAATGCTGCTGGACCCATGCCCGCCACACCAGCTGCCGGTCTCATGTTGGGCTCCATCAGCAGTGATGAACGTGCCCGTTTGGAGGCCGAACGTGAACGTCTGTATCAACAATTGGATGAGAAGGACGAAGAGATCAATCAACAAAGTCAATATGTTGAAAATCTCAAGGAACAAATCGTTGAGCAAGAGGAACTCATTGCCAATGCTCGTCGTGAATACGAAGCCTTGCAGTCGGAAATGGCTCGCATTCAACAGGAGAACGAATCGGCCAAAGAAGAGGTGAAAGAAGTCCTACAAGCCTTGGAAGAATTGGCTGTTAACTACGACCAAAAATCTCAAGAAATCGACACCAAGAACAAGGACATGGACAGCCTTAATGAAGAGTTGCAACAAAAGCAGGCCTTGCTCAACACCACTACCACAGAGTTGCAACAATTGCGTGACATGTCCTCCCATCAAAAGAAACGCATTAATGAAATGCTGTCCAATCTGTTGCGCGATTTGGCTGAAGTGGGTCAAGCCCTATCCTCAGCCGATTCCACAATCGACATGAAAATGAACAGCATACCCAGTGCCGGCGACAGTGGCAAGGTGGAGGAAGATTTCACCATGGCCCGCCTGTACATTAGCAAAATGAAAACCGAAGCCAAGAATATAGCTCAACGCTGTACCAACTTGGAAACGCAACAAATCGATTCCAATAAGAAACTCTCCGAATACGAAAGAGATTTGGGTGAATATCGTCTGCTTATTTCCCAGCATGAGGCTCGCATGAAATCCTTGCAGGAATCAATGCGTGAAGCTGAAAATAAGAAACGTTCACTGGAGGAACAAATCGATTCGTTGCGTGAAGAATGCGCTAAACTTAAGGCAGCGGAACATGTGTCCGCTGTCAATGCCGAAGAAAAGCAAAAGGCCGAAGAATTGCGAGCCATGTTCGATTCACAAATGGATGAGTTGCGTGAAGCACATACCAAACAGGTGTCGGAGTTGCGCGATGAAATCATTGCCAAGCAACATGAAATGGAAGAAATGAAGGATTTGCATCAAAAACTAATCCTCGCCCATCAACAAATGGCTGCCGATTACGAGAAATTGAAACAAGAAGAGGCTGAGAAATCAAATAAATTACAAGAAATCATACTCACCAACGAGAGACGTGAACAGGCTCGTAAAGATCTCAAGGGTTTGGAAGATACAGTGGCTAAGGAATTGCAGACATTGCATAATTTGAGGAAATTGTTCGTTCAAGATTTACAGGTGAGTTGGAGGAAATTTTTTATGTGGAGATTAAGAAGAATCGCGCTTCTATATATAAGCATATAAATAGCTCAAAAACCTACAAGACTAGAAGAAGAAGATATTTAGATGACCCCTAGAAGGTCTTTGCCGGCCTTATTTATATAGAATTTTTTTTCTTATGATGAACTCTTGATGGTTGTCTGTATATTGAATACCTTTTGAAGGCCTTCTGCCTCAAGAATATAAGAATGAAGGTGTTAACACGTGAACGTCTTCGATCTCTCGAAAACGTCTAAAGCAAAATTAAAACCATTAAGATGTCTTATTTTTATAGAAGACCTCTTGACAGTCTTCTGCATATAGAAGACCTCTTAACTGATTTTGTCTCTAGAAGATTTTTGAAGATCAATCTTCGGTCTCTAGAAGAGCCCTCGAAGTACTTTTTTCTACGGAAGATTTATTTAATGTCTTTTATTTCTAGAAGACCATTTGAAGTTATTCTGTTTCTAGAGGAAATCTTGAAGATCTTCTGTGTCTAGAAGATCTCTTAAATTTATTCTGTTTCCAGGATAGCTCTTAATGTTTTTATCTCTAAAATAGCTCTTCTGGCTTCAAAAGACCTTTTATTTGTACAAGACCTCTTGAAGCCCAATTTCTACAGAAAACATATTTTAGCTTTTAACCTCTACAAGGCCCTACATTTATAGGAGACGTGCAGACAATTTACAAATTAAAAATTGGTATTGATTTCGTTTTCTTTACTACCCTTTCCTTATTTTTTAAAGGCCCGCATTAAGAAGACCGTTCTAAACGAGGACAGCGAAGAAGACGGTGGCTCATTGGCCCAAAAACAGAAAATCTCCTTCCTCGAAAATAATCTGGACCAACTCACCAAAGTGCACAAACAATTGGTGCGTGACAATGCCGATCTACGCTGTGAATTGCCCAAATTGGAGAAACGTTTGCGCACCACCATGGAGCGTGTCAAGGCCTTGGAGACAGCGCTGAAAGAAGCCAAAGAAGGTGCTATGCGTGACCGTAAACGCTATCAATACGAGGTGGATCGCATCAAGGAGGCTGTGCGACAGAAACATTTGGGACGACGTGGTCCCCAGGCGCAAATTGCTAAACCCATTCGTGCTGGTCAGGGTGCAATTGCCATTCGTGGTGGTGGTGCCGCCGCTAATCCCACACAAATGCCTCAAGCAAGTGCTGTTAGTTCGTAAAATGATTTAAACTGTAATTTTTACAACAACTATTATTAATATTATTATATTATATTATGATAATTATAATTACTATTATATTTTTTCTTTAATAATTTCTTTTTTTTATAATTTTCCCTTAATTATTTAATTATTATTTTTTTCAATTTCTAAAATCAAAAAACAAAACAAAAAAAGATTAGTAGTTTCAAAGAAATTTGATTATGAAAATACAAAACAAGAAAAAAAAACTATTGTAAAACATGAAAAAAAATCTATAAAAAATTAAAAAAAAAAATGAAGGCAGACTTTTTTTAAATATCTGATACAAGCAGAATGAGAAAAGAAACTGCCAAATTCCGTGCATGATGATAAATAAGGTAAGTCCCTATTTTGGGACTCACCTTGTTGTTTAAAAAAACGAGCATTTCAATTTTGTTCAATTTTCACGCGTTGTAAATTTTACATAAATTTTTATTGTTCGTTCAAAACATACATTTATTCAAGCCACTTAAACCAACCAACTTCCCACCCATGCCCACTTTTCCTTTTTTATCTATCCACTACCGCGCTGTGCTTTCTTTTTTCCAAATGATGACTCCACCATTATTTTAATTAGCAAAAAAATGCTCTAAGCAAATTCAAATTTATATAAATCCTCTAAAAACCATGATGTTCTTATTTTCATTTCCCTTTTTTTACAAAACAACAAAGAACTACTTTATTTAAATTATTTATTATTAATAAAACAAGGAAATTTTAAATAAAATAAATTGAGAATAAACAAATGATACATTTTTGCAATTCAAGTATCCACCCCAAACTCACACACAGATTATTATTTATTATTATTATTTAATAATAATATTCTTATTCTTATTATAAAAATAATGTGAGTAATTAAAGCAAAACATGAAAAACTAAACAACTTAAATTGAAATTCTTAATTAAGTGAACAATAATAATATAGCAACAATAACAATTTGAATAATAATAAAAAAACAAAATTCATTTTAAATGCAATGTCCAGTCATTTTGATGACAATGAATGTTGAAAACAAAAACAAAGAGCTCTGTTTTTTTTTATTTGCTTTCGTTCCTTGGTTTGTGTATCAGCTTTAATGCTTGGCGTTTATGTTTCTTTGATGTATGTATATACGGATTTATTTATTTTTTTTCTTATGTGCTGCCTTTTATGTTATCTTTTTTAATATTTACTTTTTTTGTAAGGCGACAAAAACACACATCAAAAGAGGCCCGCGTCAGTATACTAATTCTGATGTAATATGACAAAGTGTAAATTTTACTAATGGAAAAAAAAATTATTTTGCATTACAACAAAGTGTTGCCGGTAATTGTTAACACTCCAAAACACCCATACAGATAATCTGACCTAATATTTAGCAAATAAGAGGTATAGAAAAGAGCAAGATGAAACATATTCTATTCTTTGTGTTCATTTTTTATTTCAGTTTGGAAGCTTTTGTATAATACAACGAAAAATGTTCTTGGGGTCACATTAAGCTATTTTAGGTCAGATTTGTTAAAAAATCGACAGATAAAAAACAAGGAAAAGACAAAAACATTTAAGGCGCTATACCTTTTATCGACGACGAGCAGTTGCCAGTAGCCCAACATCAACTGTTACAGTATCGGAACCATAAACACCATTCACAATTATAGCCGCTTGGCTTGCATTTTCGACTTTGTCAAAGAAAAACTGTAAAATGTACCGAATTTTCTCATTGTTCACTTCCATTTTTAATACCCTGTAACTCACAACTGAATGCACCAAACAAAACAAAATAAGGTTTTTACTGCGAAATGTCAACCTTCCAACGAGCATAAATCTGAAATCGTTTGATCGATACTTTACAAGAAATCTGTGAGTACAGTCATCTGCCGCAAAAAAATAATGGATTTCTTTTTCCCCAAACTAGTACCATGCACAATGCATGTTAGTAATGACGGTTATTAGATTTAAGAAAACAACTTTAACTATTCTCATATATTCTGTAAACACCGGGTGCCAAAGAGGTGCGAATGAGTATACGATCGAGGCATTGGGTCCCATTATTAATTAGGGATATGTAGAAGGGGGCAGAAGTCCACAATTTTCGATTTTTGCCTCTAACCAATAGTCGATTTTAAGACTTACGATTTTTGCCTTTGACTGAAAAGTCGATCTTTCGATTTTGTCGAACCTGTTCAAAATCGATCTTGAAATCGACTTATTATCAACCGATCAAAAAAAGTTCTGGAATGTATATTTTTAGGTAATTTGGGGCTTGTGATAGTAAACCAAGTATTTATGAAAAAAAAAACAATCAAAAGTCGACTTCGACTTTTCAACGCAAAAAGACGATTAATCGATTAGTCAAAAGCCAATTAAATTGTCTCTATTATTAATTGACTGTAATATGGATGTTTGGGTTCCAATTGGGTAGCAAATCTCAGTACCAAAAATCATTTTTTAAATAGTACCCATAAAACGATATCCCATATTTTTGGATAGTTTGGACACGCTTTCAATCAAATAATTTAGTATTTTGAATTTTCAATATTCAAGATAAGTTACTCCGAAGTACTCTTCGCAAAAAAGCTTTCAAAATAGGATCCATTGGTCTTTACAGAAATTTATGGAGGTATGACATTTTTATTATAGCTCCAATTTTATTTTTCCTCATTGTGGATGTTATGAAAAGTTTTTTTCCCGGTCGAAGAAACTTTTGATTTCATTTGTTCTTATTTTGAAAAATATTCTTGTAATATCTACCCCAGAGGCTTAATGCCTTCTTTAATTTATTAGAAGATAATCCAATTTGGATAGGCCAAGTTTATTGAGATCTTTCAGCCCATTGTATTTCTCTTGGAACGTACTTCTTCGGCAGAATTTGGTGAGCTGACAAGGAATTCTATTATGAATGGGAGTTTCCTCCTCACATAATCTTAAAGACTGCAGCCTGTAAAGATTGTGTCCATAGGTTTGGCTGGGTAGTTAAAGAGGTGTTGGACAGATATTAACCACCATTGGTACCCAATAAGAATTGAAACGCTTACACCACCCAGATTGCACTAAAACCTCCGGGGGTCGGCAAATATTCCTATTAAAAATTATCAACATTAAATTAATGAATTCTCACACTTACTCTCAGGACCATTTTCATGAGATGGCGAGGATCATACACTACAATCGACACAACAAAATCTTGTCGAACACACTTGCTTGGGTGTTCCTAATGGTTTTCTATCATTTAAATTATTTGTGTATTTATATTGACTTTGCTGTATTTCTTTTTATTTAATTTCATTTTTATTTTTAATCTATCTATCAAAAACGTTATATTTTATCTAATGTAAAATATAAATAGTTTTTGCCTACCTATAATAAAAGTTTAATAATTAAAAATAAAACTTTACAAAACTTTTTTTGTTCAACTTGTGCCTTTAATGAAGGAATGTAAAAACTCTACACATATATTTACTAAAAATATTAGAAATTTGCTAAGCTCAAAATTATGCTAATAGTGCATAATACTATTAAAAATTATAGATAAAAAAGTTTTGTAAAAATATTAAATATTTTCAGTTACTTACACCCAATTTTATGGAGCTCAATGTTGTGTTTATGGCATTCGATTTTAAGTCATACTTTTGTAGTAGGTGAGAGGATTCGCAAATAAATCTTTAACGATATATATCAATTTTTATTGAATCTGTTTTTGTCCCATTTCAGATATTAGATAAATATTTTCGAATTTCCAAACTAAAATTTGACCCGGATCTCATTCAATCCATTATGACTCAATCCTCGGAGAAAAAAATCTATTTTCCAATCAAAATTCTGAAGAAGGTATCTTTAGAGGTTTAGTTTGTATAGGAGAAATTTTAAAGATAAAATAAAAAGTAGACAATTAACGCTCTCTGTGACATGCCAGTCCATTTTTACGAATATACAAAAAATCAATGTAAAGAAAACATATGCGTGTATTTATAAAACCAAGTAATATTAATTCAATCGCTTTTGAAACTGAGCGGATCTCTGTTGAAGTAATAAGTTAGAATTGGGACTTAAATCACATGAAGTGCAGTGGGAAGAAGGGATATCAATCGTTAAAATCGAAATTTGTACCAATAACGGCGGAGGAGACGTCCATCCAGTTATCCATCAATGGTGTACACTGTCCGTTTATAAGAAGAGGATTTTCTATGCTTAATAAAAATTAGATTAAGGGTAAAGAGTTTAAATTTGAAACCAAGGGAACTGACAGTTGTTGAGCACTCGTGTATTCGACAAAAACCGTATCAAAAGTTTGAGAAGAGCAACGGCTACCTTAAAAATTGAGTTCATCGACTCGACATAAACTCTTTAATACAGCAAGTGATGAAATTTTTAAAATATTGCAACACTACTCCACATGTTTTTATGAGAGTATTCACTTCTTCATCCATTCACACGGACTTAATCATAATACGAACATTTTCAACATTTTTAGAGGGGAAAAGAGAAACACAAATAAATTTCTACTTATAACAAAAATACAATTGTAGATGAATTTTATTCATACAATTAAAAATAAAACTTTCAAAAGAAAAAGAAATATATATAAAAAATGGAAATAAATACATTTTCCATAAAAAAGAGGAATGTATATGTATAAATAAACGAAGGCATATTCGATAACTGAAATATGTATCATATTTGAAAAACAAAACAAAAAACTACAAGTTTTATAATAAAAAAAACAAACAATTAAAATAAACAAAAAAATATAATAGATTTATTAAGTAAGCTTTAAAACTAATTTGCTTTTCATGTGCATTTTTTTGATATATAAAAATATAAATGTGTTTTCAGTGTATAATTTTTGGTAAAGATTTAGTTTTGATATTAAAAAAAACAACACGGTATTCAAAATGAACAATGAAATTTGTAATTGAAAAATTAAAAGGAAAACAAAATCATAAACTTTAAATCTCACCCAAGCAGCATTCGCTTTATTTGTGAATATTTACTAAATACAATAATGAATAAAATGCATAAACAATAATACTACTATATAAACCAAGAAAAAAAACAATTATTTATTTAAAATAT